TATCAAACAGGAAAGCTCACCAGAACAATTACTGTAAAAAAATATTTATAGAAGAGGCAAAGAGAAACAATATTACAGCAGTGAGAAAGCAACTGAAGCCAAGATGACAGCTCAGGACCTAACAGATTCTTCTTTGGATTTTGTCAAAAATCTCTAGATATATAGAAGATGCACAAGATCAGATGTGGCAGCAATATTCAATGCATGGATGAATGGTACACTTATAAATGTGCAAGATAGATTTTGATGAGAAAAATTGTCTAGCATGATATAGTGAATCAACTTTGCTGACAGTAGATTTAATATAATTAATCATTCTACTTAATGTCAGTTGATGAGACCAAAACAGCAGTGAGGTGTGCTCTCCTGGAGGTTAGCATCAGCCATGCTGATGGAAAACAAAAATGATAGAGAGCAGTTTTGTTTTAGAGGCACGTCCAGTTTTCAACCTAAAAATTGATCATTCATATTAAATAAATTAAAACTAGAATTATTATTATTATTAATGATTCACACAGTGATATTCAACCAAAGAAACAAATTCATTTACAACAATTGTACCCCAACCACACCTTAAAGCAAGTGGCTGGAAAGAGGGGAGGGAGCATCAAGATAAAAATCCAAAACCTTTTAGATCTATGATTAAAAACATTGTTTATTAATAGTGAATATGTTTGCACAAATCAGAGCTAGGCACAGGCCAAACATTACAGCCAAGCAATCTTTAATAATCCTCTTAGGGGATTGAATGCATGTGGAAGAAATTGATTATAACAACAATATCTTGTGCTGAATCCCCTTAACCTATTCTTCCTGACATGCTTATGATCATTCTATGTCAAAATAATTAACAATGAGACACCATGCAGGGAAATCAACGTTCATGCCTTCCTCAAAGAGATTAACATTAATTACAAGCATCCAAGACTGAAAATGTTGTATTAGTGTCTAATCCACTTGGTTACCAACCCTGTAAGTCAAATAGTATTAAATTGACCAAAGACAGATAAATCACTTCCATTATGGATATATATTCAAATGAATAACTTTCTCCCAAATACTTTTATATTAACACTTCTGCTGCAGGCATACATAGACACCTTTATGAAGCTTATTTTGCCTGCTGTTCACACACACACACACATATATATATATATATATATATATATATATATATATATATTGAAGACACCATAAGATGTTAGTCAATGACATTTGTGTTATAAACTAACTAGCAATTTTCAAACTGGCATAGACATGATGTACAAAACAGACTGGTTTTATGATGTATTTTATGTTGTGCATTCCGGGGGGAATCGGTATTAGTCTATAGTGTAGAGTGTCAGATAGAAATCAAAATTGCACTATCGGCATATAGTCATTTATTTCCACTAAATGACAATTCAGCCTATGTAGGCCTTCCCTAGATATTTCTCTTTGCCATTCATGGCAATTACCTGAACCGCACTGGTCCAATGTGTGATGGTAGGAGCTTACAGAACCTGATGATCACAAGCGGTCACCAATGTATGTACTAACCAGGCTCAATGTTACTCAACTTCAGTGATCAGACAAGAACTGGCATTTCAACACAATCTGGCTATAAGCAAATGGCAGTTTTTTGTTTTTTTTAACTTTCCACAAATCATGCCAGTACAGCCAGGCAACAATTGTATAAAAATGTAGCAGTTAAAGTGCTAATAGGGAAATTTTAAATATAAAAAGAAAAAGAAAAAAAAAAAATGAAAAAAAACCCAGTTTTGGGAAAATTTTGTAAAATTACAATAGATGATATAAAAATTTCAAAATAAAAGATAGATTTGTTTTTAGTTGAACATGAGGAAGATGATAAATTGTGTTATGAAATTTAAATGAATGCCAATATGAAATGTTTTATTAGAAACTTTAAGAATGAGAAAGAAAATTTAAATAGAGAAATGGATGGATTCCAAATTAGTAATGAATTTTAAGATTCAATCAAATACATACAGCTTCATCAAATAATGTGATTTGATGAAGATGATGATTCAATTAAAACTTACAAATCTTGAATGATAAGTTATGAAATGTTTTCAATGATGTGTCAAGATTGTTGTAATGAATTCTGAATGAAATGAAACGAACAAATGTAAATTGTTACGAAATGATAATGGCAATAAAAGAAATGTTGAAATCTTCACCAAAATATGTTGGATGCCATGTGTTTACAAAGAGAGAAACACAAGTGATTTAATTATGAAGTCTTGTAAATTAACAAATTAAGGTTAATAGAGAAAAAAATCTTTTTTTAAAAGCAAAACATAAAACCAAAAATAAAATTAATAAAAAGCCATGGCTTATGTGAAAATGAGAAAGACTTTTTTTTTTTTTTGAAGGCTGCAGATGTTTCAATGGAGCATAGTTGGAAAGAAAAGCAAGATGGCTTGAAAAATAATGAATGAAAATAATGTTTAAGCAAGTGTTAAATGTGGATGAAGCTGAGCATGAAATGAACTGAGGAAAAAAAAAAAAAAACTTTAAATCAAGAAAGAACAAAGTGGAAAAAAAAGCAATCTCCCAACATTGTCAGCTCAACAGTTTCAAATAGAAATGGCTGCTATCAAATTTTCCTTCTCCTCCTAACAATTCTTTCAGAATCATTTTCTACTGGTTAATCTCTATAGAACTGGAAATCAAAAAGACATATTTGTCATAAATCAATTTGTTTTAATGTAGGAAATAGCTTTAAGTTCTCCTTCCAAATATTCATCTATTGTGTCAATGAATATTGAAAGAGTTTAAAAGCATTTTAATGCCTTTTTCTACATGTAAATACTAATTAATATTAATATAAAATCTATAAGTCTAGAATTTGTAGCTCTTGATATCTACTTTTATCCACAAATTATATTTGCAGCAAACTTATACCTTTTAAAAAAATATTGATGTTTCTGCTATATTTACATTCTTAACAACTATTTTTGTTACATTTCAGCAGGTTTTTATGTCATCCCTAAAGATTAAACCTGACTTCCTTAATAACCTTTTTATACACATTGACAACACACATCTCCAAAATATTTGTGGAATAAACTAGTAACTAAAACAATTAACTGTCAAATATACATGACACTGATATTAGTTAATAGATAAAAAAAGTTCAAAAGACTTATCAGCAATTTTTAAACCTTTGTGCCCACAAAAAAATAAAAGACTGTCAGAAGGACTGTTTTTCCTTTGACACTGCTATTATTTTAACTACCTTCACTCCTCAGCAATTTTTATCGTTTTAAAAAGTAAGAATTCAAATTGTAATAAAACCTAAACATATGAAAGTGTATTTATACATTTTCTTTGTTCTTGAGAATTGATAGCCAAAATAATAAACACTATTGTTTATTGAAATGATTGACAAAACATCAGCTAATTGCCAATTGATTTGCTCTTTATAAAATGATAAATAAAGATTTCTTTATAGTTGGTTCACATATTTTGATAATTTAGTAAATGTTTATAAATTTATGACTAAAAAATTGTTTTCATATTTATTACTTTATAAATTGGTAAATGATAAATATTGCATTAGTTTTAATACAATTGTATTACTTTTTAGAATGATAAAAATACAAAATTGTTCTTGTAAATAAACAATCTAATAAAGTGTTTAATATTTTTGTTTTAAATTCCCAAGAACAAAAAAATGCATAAGTTCACTTTCATCATATATTTAGGTTTTATTACTATTCTAATAATCACTTTTTAAAACAAATAATGCTGAGGAGTGAAGGTAGTTAAAATAATAGCAGTGTCAAGGGAAAAAAATCTTTTTGAGGGGAGCACAAAGGTTAATGATGGCTGACTTATCTTTCTAACTCAGTTTCACAGATATACTGCTCATTAGTGTCAGATCAATCAGATGACAATAATCAGAAGAGTTGGTTAAAGCAATCAACTCTCCTTTTGTCATTTCAAAATCAAGATTGATCAATAGGAAAGAATGGATACTAAGAAGAACAGAGGAGGAGAAGTGAATCATTTTTTAAGCCCCCCCCCCATAGGTATAGCTACTATCACCCCCAAATACCCATTTGAGACCTCTGCTCATAGCAAAACACACATCTCTTAACCACAGACCAACCCCCTCTCTAAGCATTGGATATCACAGTCTCCACGAATAAAACAAATCATGCCAGAGAGAATCAATATTAATCCAACTGGAATAGGATTATTCTATCATCTCCTTATTAATATCAAGGTTACTAAAACAAAAAGAAAAAAAGTAAGGGATTGTCGAAGGTCAGACAGCATTAACCCTCAAGTCTTAAACAAAAAAAAAAAAAAAAAAAAACATTTGAAAATTGCTCAGATTAAACACTAAGAAAAATAAAGAAAAAAAAAAATGATGACCAGTTTTCAAATAAGAATTTTATTAAATAGTTTTTGTCTTAATGAAAAAAATGTTTAAAAGGTAATTGTGATAATGTGTTTTTATTAGAGTTTCTCTTATGATTCATCGCATGACAAAAAGGGTTTTGCTTTTATCTAATCTCTACTTTTAGAAAAACTGCTTGTTACTTTTGTATAAACATGAAAAGAATTTTAGATGTCTAAAGACATTTCATGAAACATGAAAACTTCAAATCTTACATCAGTCAACTTAATTTAAAATATTGTCTAAATTGAATAAATTTAGATTTTAATCAAAATAAATTCATCACATTATTCAAATGATTTAAAAGAGAATAGAAATTGAAATTTTATTTACCTTCCTAATCAAAATTATGACCCGCTAAATTAATGAGGGAGAGAAATAGACTATTCCAGTGAGAGTAATACTGACCCAAAACCCTGTTGAGACTACACACAGAAAAGGTGGGAAAACACAAAAATGCAAGGTGATTATCAGCAGATGCATTCAAGGTTCAAATTGAATGCTGGAGGCTGGCAGGTCAAAGGAGCAGCTTTTTGTGGTGGGGTGGGGAGGGGTCTTCAGCCCTGGCCACTGGCCAGCAAATACTCACATGTGTGGTCAAACGGTAGGACATGAGTTCAAACTCTCCATCGGGGGGAATGAACGAGATGGTCCGATCATTTTCAAACCTGGACAAGCGGACGCATTGGTGGAACTTCACGTCCTCCAACTCGACTGACTTGCTTTTTCCTCCTACATTTAGTGTTAATGAGAAAGAGAGCAAAAGATAAAAGTGAACCTCACAAAACATGACGACGACACAGGTGATGCTAACAGAAGTTAACCGAGAGAAACAGGTAGTAGAGGCAAAAAAAAAGAAACAAACAAACAAGGAAACTAACAGGTTTTTTTTGGTTCTTTTTCTTATCCAACATTGTTGGGATCATTAAGAAAGGTCATTTATATTACTTTTATTTTATTTTGGGTGCAGATCAATTGTCTCTCAAGACCAACGGATGCTACATATTAACATAATCTTTTTCTTGACTTTATCAGGATACAATAATTTCATCCCAAGCTGAAGCAAATGACAGATCTTAACTAACCCTAGTTTGACACAAGGTTACAGTATTAAGGTACCCAATGGGAAATTATTTTTAACATTATTCTTCACCCAATAAAAGACCTAAAAGTCACTCAAGGTAGAGGGTTACTGAATGGAGTTTCTTTATGGATGTAAGGAGGAGATAAGAAGTGCAGATTATGAGGATAGATAATGGTAGATAACCTTAGATCAGGCATGTTAAACTCAGGGCATATGGAGGGCAACACTTGCTTACTGTCTTACATTAATCACAGGTAGTCATAACTAAACTTTAAATATAAAATACTTACAATACAAGGTAGTGCAATTTAATCATTTTTATGTTGCCCTGATGATTGACATCACTTTAGACAAACTATTCTAGATATATCAGGTTGGAATGTCTGTGATCAAAGATGAGAAATGTTCATCAGTTATTCTGTGAGATGTTTTTGTGGCCTTCATAAATGAAAATAACTGCTCACAGACATGTGGAACCAGACATCGCCATAATCTTTGTGGCAAACTTTCTGAAGTTCTTAAATGTCTGAGGAATAAAATCCAGGTACCTCTATTTCTAGATACTTTCCTTCTTGTGTTGAGTCAGTTTGCATTTCCAGAAGTTCCATCTGTAGACTTTCCTCTGCTTGAGCAACATCAAAAGCAAGTGCTGCTGAGAATAATGCAAACTGATCTTCACAAGATGAAAAATCTTCACTGAAATTCCTTTGACAGCAATTCCAGGTAATTTTCATACTAAGCAAAGATAAATATAGACTCAATATTGGCAGTTTTTTTTTTTTTTTTTCAACTCCTTGCACATTGGAAAATGAATCAAGTTTTCATATGACAACTGGGATTTGAATAAAGCTAATTTTGCAATGAAACACTTTATATCATCATATAACTGAGTGATGAGCTTATTTTTTACCTCGTAATTTCAAATTAAGGTCACTTAATTAGGCAGTAATATCCACTGAAAAAGATTATCTTGGAGCCAGCTTTTATCTTTCAATTCATTTGTGCTTTGACCCTTCACCTCCAAAAACATAATTTTGTGTTGCAATAAAAAATATCTTTTCAGTACCTTGTGACATGAAAGCCACTGAACTTCTGTGTCGAATGGGACATTTGTGAACTGATTATTCATGTCTGCCAATAACTGGCTAAACTGACAGTGATGTAGAGCACGACCTCTGATATAGTTCACCGTTTTTGTGACAAAACTCAACACATGATCTAATTTTTAAATCTTAGAACACAAGTTCTGTTGATGAATTAGCCAGTGAAAATGCTTAAATGTTGAATCTAGATATATGATTTCTATTTTTGTATCTAACTTGGCAGCAACACCATTATGTCTCCCAACCATATTGGCAGCACCATCAGTAGATAAACACACGAGTTTACTCAAATCAAGGCCATACTCAAAAAATGTTCTGTCTTGTTGTAGTATCATGCATTGGAACCAGTTCAATTAGTTCTTCATAAATTTGAAATTCATCGTCACAAAGCCCTGATGAAAACTGTGAGCTGTACTATTCCAGCTATGTCAACAGTCTCATCCAGAGCAATAGAAAAAGGTTCAAAAAAAGATGATAAAGTCTTCAACTGTTGACTCAAATCACCTGCCATTTCATCAATCTGTTCAGCAACAGTGTTCCTGTTTAATGAAATGTCTTAAAATAAGTGTGACTTCTCTGGACATACAATTTCAGCTTTTTTTACAAGACATCGCTTTATGAAATCTCCTTCATTCTAAGATTTTCCACTGATGGTGATCATTTTGCAGAGTTCAAAGCTTGTAGTAACAGAATTAACATTGCCTTTCTGAATTTTTGTAAAGCAATTCTGTTGCTTGTGTTAACTTAACCTTGAATTCCTTCAATTTTGAAACACGCTCATCTCCTTGATATTTATCATAAGATCGATGGTTTGTTTCATAATGTCTTTTCACATTATATTCTTTTGGTGTCACAATGCAATGATTGCAAATAAAACAGTTTATCTTTCCATTAACAGTGGTACAAAAGTACTGTAATTTCCACTTTTTCTTGAAACACACGTCCTTCTTCAGATATTTTTCTCTTTTTACGAGATAGCATAGAATTTGACATTTTTAAGGCAAAATTACGGACGTTTGACTTAGAACCAGAGTGTTCAAAACTCAAGAGAAAATTAAAGACAATTTTAATTATATGCCTAGCAGTTTCAATCTATTCTTTTGTTTACAATAGGCAAAATTATTTGTCTATTTTGTGATGGATTTGTTATCAACTATTCTTTCAGAAAAGAAAAAACAATTATATTAGTAAACTTTGATTAAAGATTTTAAATTCATCAGTGCAAAATATAGATCAAAAGAAACAGAACTATAATTAATTAAAAGCAAAACTATGAAATCACTTGCTTCATTTAAAACTGGGAATTTAGAGAGACAAATAGTATAAGGTCTGGTTGCCAATCATTTCTAAACAAATTGAATATTATTGGATGTAATTGCAAAATCAGCAAATGAAAACAAAGCCATGAATCTAACCCTAAGGATTTATAAAATACAGACAAGGGTGAGGAGAGTCAACTTTTCAAAGCTTTTAAAATTTTCTTAATTTTAAGTTTTTTCTTGTTACTTACAAAAGGTGTTTTAAAAATATAATGACTAATAACTTTACTTTTTTATTATATGTATTTTAGGTGTGATCACTCATTGTTTGCTGATTTTTGCCTCTACCTACCTTACTGAATAAAAAAAAAAAAAGATGTTACACATATTTATGTCAAAGTTAGTCTCCTCCACAAAACAATTTTTCAAAAATTAATTTTTTCTTCTCACATAAAAATTTTGAACTGTAAAAAAAAGAGGAGGAAAAAAAAACTGGAACATTTCTTCCTGAAAATAATTTCATTTTTTCATTCAACAAAAAAAGTTTCATTTTTTTTTTTTTTAAATTTCCATCCTGCGCATTTTGATGCATAGATTTTCATTCACATCTAGAAAAACAAAGTAAAAGTTTAGACATACAAAAAGTAACTAACAATGAAAACATAGCATACAATAATTCTTTCACAATCCAATTTCAAACTCATCAAAATCACTGAAGAAGTTAGTTTCATTACCTTTCATCATTTTGGGGGAGGGGTCATGGTTTCATTTTTGTGGGTACAGAACTGGTATAAGTAGGTTTTACAGGCTTTCTGAGAATTGAAGCCTTTCCCAGGTGAAGTGAATTTTGTAGGGATTAAAATAATTGGTAAGCCAAAAGTGCAATGGTCAGGTATATAGAGTAGATATCATAGGATGTACGCTAGCTAAGCTGTAGCAATCTCTGCCAGGTCTGCAAAGATAGACAAAGTCTGGTGTTGTCCAATTCCAGCCACTGAATTTCATTGATTTCTGCTACCTTTAATTAGTTCAATTAGGAACACTACTTGTTTAAATTCAATGTCTGATTGTGCTAAAAGAGCTAGTTATATACATTTTACCCTTCCAATTCCAGATATACAGCATCATTTTCTCTGGTTAATTGTAGCTCGTTTCATTTTTCTACCATAACTTTCAAGCATTTTTCACTCTACCTTGTAAACATTCCATCTTTTTATCACTTGTGATCAGTTTATAAAAAAAAAAAAAAAAAAAAAAAAAGGATAATTTTTGTTGCATCTGAACAGAGAATCACAAATGAAAATGATGAAGGTGTTAGTTAGATCTAGTGACAGGACCCAAAGAGTGTGAGTTCAATATCCGGTTAAGGCAGTGGAGAACTTGGAGAGGGGAATTAACTGACATCCATTAAACATGGCATGTGGAACTAGAACAGTCTACCCCAGTGAGTGAAATAAGTTCGACATTCTAACCACCTGAAGAAGGCCTGAGCTTAAAACGTTCGAAACATTATAATAAATATGTTGACAAAGATGAGGACAATAGTCCAAATAATGTAAATAGTGAAAACAAAGTTCATTGTAAATAGTGAGGCACCTAAACATGGTAATAATTCATATTCCAGTGTTATCAAATACCTTAAAAAGCCTATATGTGGTGTACCCATGATGATCTATGTCATGTGACCTGGATTAATTTTTTTTTTTTTTTTTTTTTTAATCAGCATTTCAATTTGGTCATTGACAGACAGCAAGCCTGCCAGAACATACTCAGTATTCCAGACGAAAATCTCCACTTCTGAACCTAGTGAACTACTAAACAGTACACTGAGATAGAGCACTATCTCCATAAATGGCACATACCTTCTTTGCTGTTTGTAATGAATTTCTTCGCCTTCCAGAAAAGAAGATTTTCACCATAAAATTATTGGGTTGAATCATAAGTAATTTTTGTTTTTTGGAATCAATTGTAAAGTTTGAAAAATAAAATTGATTAAGAAAAATGGAAATTACTTCTGACTCAACCTAATAGTATTAACCAACTGAAGTTGACAAATTTTCACTATATTATCTGTATAAGCAAATATATCATGTGAGTTTCAGTTTTTATGCCTATCCTTATTAAAAATTTTAATAAATTGTGTATTTGGGGGGGGGGTCATTTTTTTATGCAAAATGAAATATAAATTATTAATTATAAATTAAACCATAAAAACAAGTATTTCATTCATAGACAGAATATCTCATAACTGAATAAATTATATTATTTTACATCAGAATATGAGCT